GCAGTGGATGGCCTGGCACTTTGGAGTCGACCCCAGCCAGCTGCTGCTGTTCCCGGAGCCTCCGCTGCTGTCTGACCGCAAGGTGGTGCCCTTAGACATAGACGCCATGGTGGTATCTGCTGAAGTTACACGGGAGCAGCAGCAGCAGCAAATGTTAATGATGCAGAAGGGAGAAAGGGAAGCACCAGGGAAGAGGCAGCTTTCGCTTGATGAATTGTACATGCAGCTGCAAGCAGCACAGTCGTGGCCGGGTTGCCTTGACAGGAGGCGAACTCTTGCAGCAGCAACTGCAGCATCAGCAGCAGCAGGAGGGACCGCATCAACAGCAGCAGCAGCTACGCGTCTGCCTCGAGAGCTGCATTTGTGTCTGTTGCCGGGTCACTTCCGCCTGTATTCACGCATCGTGAACGCGTTGACGCTTCCGTCTCAGCAGCAGCAGCAGCTACAGCAGCTGCTGCTGTCTCCCCTGTCTCCCGCTGCTCTGTCGCCTTCGTCTTCTCCATTATCTCATACGGTCTTCACCTACATCTGCCTCATCTTCTCAAGACAGGCAGAACGTATAGGCTGCGTCTTGGGCCATATTGCTGCCTGCAGCTCAGAAGGCAGGCCCCACACAGTGGCGGACTTAATGCGAGACATTCTTTCGCGGCTGTCTCCAGCCACTGTGCAGACTTTGCGGCAGGACTACCGCTTGAGCTGCAGCAGCAGCAGCAGCAGCGGCGCCGCAGCAGCAGCAACAGCAGCAGCAGCAGCAAAGAGCACGGCAGCAGAAGCCACCACGTCCAAGCAAGATATCGAAGAGGACTTAGGGCCCCTCAGACTCTCCATTTCAGACGCCTCCCACCTGCTGAGAATTCCGCCCACAGAAGAGCTCTCCTGGCTCACTCTCTATGCGCCCTCAGGTGAGCCTGCGGCGGTGTCAGTGACTTGTGCAATTTTGCGTCGAGCTCTTCTCTTGCCTCTGTCTTCTTCTTTGCCTCTTTCTTTTTTTTATTTTTTCTGTCACTTCCAGTTGGACTATTGCTGCCTGGCGATATGCCCGATAAGTGCTGCTGCCTGCGTGTGCTGCCAGTCGTCAGTGCTTCTCCCTGTTGTTTCCTGCCTTTCTGGTCACCAGTCAGTGTATTTACTTGCTTATAGTTGATTTATTCTTCCTTTCGTGCATTGCGTCCTTTCTTTTCACCACCCCTGCCTCCACTTGCCTCTTATTCCTTCTTTTTCCGGCTGCACCTTTGCTGCTCATCCGCATGCATGTGCTGCTGCTGCTGTTTTGGTACAGCGCAAAGCCGCAGCAGGGAAGCCATTTCGAACCTCCTGGCAGTTCCTCTGCGCCTCGAAGCAGACTACACGCCTGAAGAGGAGGAACTGATACGCACTGGCGCCCGGCAGGTAGGATGAATGACGAGCGAGCGAGGTAGCTAGCTAGCTAGCTAGCTCGTTGAGCCTCTACCTGGCCTCTTACTTTTGGCTGCGTCTATGCTTGGCTAGTAGCCGCCCCGCTTATTTGTATTTGGTTCATGTCTCTTTCTTCGTGTTCTGACTTTAATCTTCCCGGCTTACCTTTGAATTAGCCCTTTACTTTCTCATTCTCGGCGCCTGTGCGCGGCTGGTTAGCAGGCCAGCTAGCTAGCAAGCTGTCTGGGCCCCAAGCTGCATAGATGGCAGCCTAGGTCGGGATAGAATATCTTGCATTGGAGGTTTATGGCTCGCCAAGATCCTGGGGAGCTGCGTTTTCGAGCTAGCTGGATGGCTGACTAGAGGAGTCGTAGCAGCTAGCTAGCTTTCTCGCAAAGTAGCTGCTGAAGACTTGTGCGTGTGCGCGCCGCCTGGGGTGTACGTACAGGTGCTGCTGGTGCAGCACCAGACTCCCGGAGACCGGGAGCCCTTCGGCTATCCGTTCGACATCCTTGTGGAGGTAAAATTGCAAGATCCTGCAGCTGAAAATGACAATAAGAAACACGGGGGGGCTTTCTAGGAGACAGAAACTGACAGAAACGCATGCAGAATGTGGCAAAGACAATAGAGAGAACAGAAAAGCAGACACAGACACAGGTTCTTCAGCCATTCAGCTTCTCTTTTCTTCTTTGCCCTCAGCCCGAGGCGACTCTGTCTGAAATCAAGGCGCAAATAATAAAGAAATTGAGACTTCCCAAGAATGCATGGGGCAGCTGCACCTTCTTTCAGCTTGGAGACGGCGTTCGGTGAGCTCATAGCCTCTGCTTTTGCTGCTTCTCTTTGTTTTTCCTTTTTTCCTTCGCTGCTTTTGCCCGAGCACTCCCTTGCTCTCTTTGATTGCCTTGGCAGAAGTAAAGGGGAGCGTAGATACACAGGGGCCAAGTTTTGTTTGTTTTGTATTTCCGTTTGTTTCTGCAGTTGCTGGAAGGGCCCGAATGACTCTCTTGACTGGGTCAAACACCGCAATATTACTCTTATAGGTGAGCACATTCTTTTGTGTTCGCTGCCGCTGCTCATGACGCTTTGCTGCTGCTGCTGCTGCAGTTTTGGCTCCTCGCTGCTGCTGCCACTGGAGTTGCGCAGTCGGCCTTATTGTTGCTTTGCGTACAGCCGAACATTCTGCTCCCTACACGAAGCACAGAGGTCATGGGGGCATGCGCATCGCCTAGACGCCCTTAGTAATTGCTGCTGCAGCAACTGCAGCAGCAGCGGCTGCTGCAGACATTGCACCAGCGACAGCAACAACAGCTGCAGCGACAATACTGCAGCATTTGCAGCAGCGACAGCAGTAGCTGCTGCTGCATTCCACGAGCGGGCGGCGGGCCAGAGCGGCCAGTGTCGCTGCTGCCGCTGCTGCTGCTGCCCCTCGTGTGCAGGGCAGCACAATGCCTTTTAGGAGCGATTAAACAAGACAAATGCGCTGAGATAAATACGAAACATAGAGCCACAAGGTTCTGGGCATGCAGTTGCTTTCTTGCTTGTTTCTGAACATGTTACAAACGCCCTCTGTTTGTTGTGCTAATGCTGGTGGCTGCTGCATGCGCTGCGCTGTGAAGGCCTGAGGCAAAACACCCACGGCAGTCTGCGCTTCATTGTAACTCCTTTCTCGTTTTCTTGTGCCTTTCTCTGGCCTTTTACTGCGACTTTGTCTCGAGTTAGGGCAGCAGAGGGCGCGTAGAAAGTGCGCAGCTGCAGCGGCTGTTGTGCTGACGCTGCTGCACATGCAGTGACGGCTTAAGTGCAGCAGCTTTTATTGCTTTCCCTGCTAGCCGACAGATAGGCACTTCTAGGTGGCTACAGCTACACATGCAGTTTGCTGGAACTCCTCGCTGTTTGCTGCTGCTAGCTGTTGCTCGCAGCTGCTAGCTGCAGCTATGTGGAGCCGTACGGGCTCGCAGCAAGCGCCTGGAGCTGCTGCTGGAATGCGCTGCTGCAGCTTATTGCATGCAATAGTCACGGGCGCGGGTGGCTGCAGTTAGCTACGGCTACCTGAGGCTGCCGTGGACTGCCACTTGGGAAAATCCGCTAGCACTGCTCTCAGCCCAATGAGAAATTGGATGTATCCCAGCAGGCTAACAGAGGGTGTCTGAACGTGGGCAGAGCCTCTGGGGCCTTCCGCCTAAGTGGGTTCTGCACTACACGCGATGTGACGCATTTGCTAGGGCACCCACGCTCTCTGCTCGGTGACTAGGTCAAATAAAAAACAGCCGCAGATACTACCGTATGCATATATGTATAGTATATATATATATATATATATATATATATATACATATACATATATATATATGTACATGTGTATACGTATGCACATATATGTATATATATACATACGTATATACGTACATATACATAGATACGTATATATATATATATATATATATGTTGCAGCAGCCGGTGAACTGGGGCTGGAGGCTACAGCGGCTACAACTCATCTGCTTGTTCCCTGGTTCCACCAGCTCCAGCAATGCACAAAACCTTCCAGATATGCATGCAAAATAGAGGCAGCCAGAAACCCGCAAAGACAAGTACGAAAAACAAACGGATTGCAGAGGAAAACATTCCTCCTGCTGCTTATAGAGGAAGAGTGGAGCTGTTCAGCAGCGCTCAGGAGGGTCACTCGTAGCCACGCAGAAAGCGCACGCAGAACCGATTACACTCTGCAACAAAGATTCCAGCCAGTGCAGTCCCGCATGCATGCACCATATCGGTAGTGTTGCCTCGTTCATTGGAGAAATTTGTACTAGAAGTCATTTGCCACTGGTGCGAATATGCAGCAGTGGGACAGACGGGCACTTGGGGACAGAGACCTCTGTTTCCAGCAGGATTCTGCGTGTTACTGGATTTAATGTTACGGCTATTCACTAAATGAAATCCTGCAATGCTAACTGGCTAAAAAAAGCGGAACTTTTCAAGGTGTTCATTGTGTTTCGGTAGGCATTCGCTGCATGCGGGGAGGGGCGGCCGGCGTGGGGGTGAAAATGGGCCGCAGGAGGAGTCTAAGGGTCTAAAAAATGGCACTTATTTGCCTTATACCCTTGAAATAATTTCCATTTAATTGAAATGGGAAACAAGAAGGGAAAAAGAAGAAAGAAAGGCTGGTTGGTGGGCCGGGTCTACGTCTGAAGCCGCGACCTCCGTCCCAGCCCCGTGCACCCCGGCAGCACGTACCAGGTTTGTGTTTGGGAGCTGCAGGGCAGAAGGACTGATAAAAGTATTGAATTGAGGAGCTGTTGGTGCTGAGAAGGGGGGCGCGTCACGGTACACGGCGTCCTGGGCTGTACGTACAGCTGCTCGCACGGAGACAGCAGTTTCGTGAGGGCTTCCGCTTCAAGCTTTTGTGTATAGGCGGCCCTTGAACGCGGTGCCTTTCTTTGAGTTTATTTGCGAATTTGTGTCGGAAGAATTCCGGAAAGCTCCGTGGGCTTTGAAGGCGCCGGCAGCGTCGGAGAGGAGGAGCGTGTAGCAGCAGTTCCTGTTTACACTGGCGGTAGATTTGAGGCATTTGAGCTACGGGGCTTCTTCTGGAGTGTAAGAACACGGAAATGGTCCGCATGCGCGCCCTGAGGTATTTGGGAAGGGCCCTCGCGGGCTCGACTCCGGCTCTTGCTGCAGCGATGGGGCCCCCCGCGCAGTGCAAGGAGCGCGCCAGCAGCAGCAGCAGCGACTTGAGCAGCCTTGTGGACAGCCCGCCCCCCGTGTTGGGGGAGGCGGCTTCGCTGCGTTGGCAGCTGCGGAACGCGCTGACTTCGCTGCAGCTGCGACTGCACCTGCTGCGGCTGGAGCCGTCGGTGGCGGGTGGGGAGGCCCCCGAGGGGCCCCCCGGGTCACGGGGGCCCCGGGGCCCCCGCCGCAAACGCGTGGTGGTTGCGGGCGGCGGCTGGGCCGCGGCCTCCTTCGTTAGCAAGCTGGACCCCCGCCGCTTCGAGGTGGTGTGGATTTCCCCGCAAGACCACTTTTCTTACACGCCGCTGCTGCCGTCGGCCTGCGGGGGCAGCCTGCCCGTGGCTGCATGCACTTCGAAGCTGCGGGACTTGCTGTGCTTCGGGGGCCTCCCAGCGGCGCGGGGCCGGTACCACCGGGCCTTCGTGGAGTCTGTGGACTTGGTGCGGAAGACGGTGACTTGCAGGCCCGCGGCTGTGCCCGAGGGGCCCCCCGGGGGCCGCGGGGGGGCCCCCTGGGAGGAGCCTTTTGACTACATGGTGCTTGCTGTTGGCTCCGACGTCAACACTTTCAACATTGAAGGGGTCAAGGAACACGCGCTGTACCTCCGCACAGCCCAAGACGCAGAGAGGGTCCGGGCCCGCCTGGGGGCCTGTCTAGAAGCTGCAGCAAACCCCTCAGTGACAGCAGCAGAGCGGGAGCGGCTGCTGACAGTGGTGGTGGTGGGGGCGGGGCCCTCGGGGGTGGAAGCAGCAGCAGAAATCCGGGACTACCTCAACACCACGGGGGCCCGGCTCTACCCAGACCTGCAGCAGCACTTCCGAGTGCTGCTGCTGGAGATGGGCGCTGCGCCGCTCCCCATGTATGACCAGCAAGTGCAGCAAGCAGCAAAGGCCACGTTTCAGAAGAGCGGCGTGGAGCTGCACCTGAACACGCAGGTCACTCGCGTGGGGCCGGACTCAGTGACGGTGCGGCGGCTGCAGCCGCGAGCAGCAGCAGCAGCAACAGCAGCAGCAGCAGCCACGACTGCAGCGGCGGCTGGCGGCGGCGCCGCCAAGGAGGGCGCCGCCGCGGGCGCCGGCGGCACCTCCGCAGGCGCCGGCGCTGCTGCTGCTGCTGCTGCCGCCGGCGCAGCAGCAGCAACTCCTGCAGCAGACACCATCCCCACCAACTTCGTCTTGTGGGCCTCTGGAGTCCGCCCCACAGAACTCGCCACTGCTGTCGCCAGGGGCCTCCCCGCCCAGAGCCGCCCCCAGCGCCTCCTAGTGGACCCCGCGCTGCGGGTCTTGGGCACAGACTGTCTTTTTGCTGCTGGCGACTGCTGCACCATTGAGCCCCCCAAGCTCGCCCAGCACGCCCAGCAGCTCTTCGAAAGGGCTCAGCGGGAAAACCCCACCACCGGCGCAGGTATGCCCCCTCGCCCCTCCCCACGGACCCCACGCAGCACCCGGGGCCCCACAGGGGGCCCCATGGCCCCCAGCGGGGCCCCTGCGGGGCCCCCGCGCCCACAGAGGGGGCCCCCGGACCCCCGCAGAGAGCCCCACGGCTCGCGAAGGGGCCCCCGGACCCGTTCAGGGGGCCCCCGGACCCGCACAGGGGACCACCTGACCCGCGCAGGAGCCTAGGGCTCGCAGAGGGGGCCCCAGCGCCCACACGGGGGGGCCCACGGCCCCACAGGGCTCCGCCTGATGTGCACTGCATGCGTTTTTGCGGGGGCTTTCTGCAGGTACGGAATGGCTGCTGGCGAATGGCGAGAAGCTCTCGACATTGTTTCCCCAGGTGCACCCCAAGCGCAACAAACTCGACACCCTCGCTCCAAGGTCTAATCTCGACTTGAAACAGTTTACGGAACTTCTGCAGGTGAGGCAGCAGCTGGTTTCGCCGGGAGTTCTCGGGTGTACAGACAGCCCAGGGGCCAGCTGCGCCGTGAGAGGCGCCTGGGGGCCGCGTTTCGGAAGGAATCTTGTGTACCTTTGCAAGTTTGAGGCGGCAACTGTTGCTGTTTTTGGCGCTTAATGCCTTATTTCACGTTCTAATGCCTTAGTTCACTTTCACATTTGTTTTTGCCGCTTCGCATTCGCAGGAAATAGACAAGCGCTACGTGAGCCCGGCCCCGACGGCGCAGAATGCCCGCCAAGAAGGAATGTACCTGGCGCTGCTGTTCAACGCGTACCTGGGCTCTGGGGATGTTCCCAAGGGGGCCACGGGGGCCCCCCAGGCGGCCCCAGTGCTGCCAGCATTTGTTGACAACTGGAAGGGGTCTTTGTGCTTCCTGGGCGAGGGCACAGCAGCCCTGCAGCTGCCCGTGGGGACCTACGTGGGAGGCTTCCCGTTCACTCTGGTGTGGAAAATGGTGTATCTGCAGCTGCAGCTGAACGCCAGGGCCACCTGGCGCTGCTGCGAGGGCTGGCTGCAGACGGCGATTTTCGGCAGAGACATTCAGTGTGCAGCATCCAGCCCCAAGGACCCGAAGGAAACGCAGTAAGGCAGCAGCAAACTCTCCACGGGAGACTCAGCTGCGTCCCTACTCAGGCTGCCGTCTTAAGGCAGCTAGGGTGTCGTGAAAGGGAGGCCCTGGGGGCCCCCTAAGCGCTCCCTACCTAGGGAACCCCTGCATGTGCACTAGGTGACCCAGGGCCCCCCCTGAGGGCCCCTTTGTACTCGCGCGAAGCGCGGGTGCCTCCAATGTGGAGAGCAGAAAAGCCAAGGGCCCCTAGAGGGGCCAGAAGTACCCTCTAGGACCTTATGGTCATTGCCGAATTTGTGACGCGAAAAGCAGTCAAGGGCCCCCCAAGGCGCATGTGAGGCCACTGCATGCATGTGTAACGTAACAAGTGCAAGTTGTGGGTGTACATACAGCCCACTCACCACAAACAGCCATAACTAACGAATCGCGAACTGCGGCTGGCGCCCATGCATGCATGCATGGGGTTGAGTCCTCCGAAGTATCTGTACACCTCAGACGGTGGACTTTCATTTTCACTTTATTTGGAGAAACAGTCTGGAACAGAGAGACAGCGATTCAGGTGCACGCACGCTGCTGCTGCTGCTGCACCAGCAGCAGCTCACCCTGCAGCTGTGCGCTGCGCGCACTTAGGGGCCCGTTTTGGGGACACCAAAATGTCTACAGTGTATAGACACCCCACTTTGTACTCTGCCTGAATGAACTCCAGGGGCTGATCGGAGGCCTTAGAGGCCTCAGGGGCCCCTGGGGGCCCCAAAACAGCCTCTACAGTTTGCTGCACTTGAAGCTGCAGCGGAGAGCAGCGCGGCGGCGGCAGCAGCCCGTGCGCGGGCGTCTGCAGCAGCTGCAGCGCCAACACGCATGCAGCAGCAGCACGTGGATGCTGGCGAAACAGCAGCAGCGGCAGCAGCCCAATCGGCAGCAAGAGCAGCAGCAGCAGTAGCAGCAGCAGCAGCAGCAAGCACCGGCACAGCTTCAATCACCTGCGCAGCCTGCTGCAGCAACGGCAGTGTCGGGAGAGCCCTGCGAATGTTTGTGCTGAGTGTCGAGACACCGCCAGGCTCGAGGGAAGGCACCAGCAGCAAAATGTAGAAGAGAGCGTGCTGCAACTGAAACAGCAGAGCTCGCAGCAACAGCGGCAGCAGCAGCAACAGACGCAGGTGCAGCGGGGCTTCTGTCAAATGCAGCGAAGGGGCAACTGCAGCAAAGGCAGCTCAGCCACACACGCATAAGACACCCCAAGCAAAAAAGGAAAAGATGCAGGAGGCACTAAGAGGGAATGAAACAAAAGAGCCCCAGGTGAAGTGCAGAAGCAAGCTGTGGCGCTGTGATGCAGCAACATGCGCTCCCAGCAGCGCAGCGGGGAGCAGCAGGAAAGGCAGATAAACACACGGGAGGGCCAGCATCAACAAAACAAAAAAGCAGAAATCTGGCTAAAGGGAAGCAAAGTCAGAAGAGGAAAGAAAGAGCAGCAAAGTGCAGAAATGAAAATGATTTGGGGGCCCCTACTGCCTGTTGCGACAGCCTCTGCTGATCCTCTTGAGAAGCAGCAGCAGCCTGCTGCTGCCGGCGCCTCCAGCCCCAGAAGCAAGGGGTGCTTTCCAATGCATGCAAATAAGGATGCCCCGCTGCTTCTTTAGCTGCTGCTGTAGGCGCCGCTGTTACTGTTGCTGCAGGCGCTGCTGCTGCTAGAGTCAGTCGCAGCAGAAGCAGCAGCTGCTCCAGCAGGGCTCCCCCAAACAGCAAGGCAGGCACTCCCCCGCCAAGCAGCGCTGCAGCAGCAAAGTTTAAGGACAAGGAACGGTATGCCTGAGCAGCAACTGTGGCACTGGGCAGCAGCAGCACCGACTGCTGCTGATGCTGCTGTTGCTGCGCGTACAGCTGTTGCTGCTGCAAGCACTGCCGCGTGCGGTATATCTGCAGCAAAAGCAGCCTGGGAAAAGGAGGCAGCAACACACTGTTGCAGCACAAACTCCAGCAGCAGCAGCAACCACAGCAGCACCAGCAGCCACGGCAGCTACTCGTGTGTCTTTTCTGCCAGCAGCTCCTTTTTATGACTTTTCTTACGAAGCTGATTAAAGTGGTTACTCACTCCTTAACTAGCGCAGCCCATGAGGAATCGCTGGAACTTGACTCAAGTTCCCGCTGTTGCTGCTGCTGCTGCTGCTGCTGCGGGGAACCCAAACTATTCTGCAGCAACTGCAGTCGCGCTGAAGCTCCCAGTACACTTAGTACCTGCGAGGGAGCCAGCTGCAGCAGCGCTGGATCCCATGCGGCAGCTGAAGCTTCTGGTGGGGCTGCTGCAGCTTTTGCTGCTGCTGCAGCGAGTCGTGCAGCAACGACAGCAGCAACAGGCCCTGTAGTTCGCATCACCTGCTTTTCTTCTACAGGAGCAGCGGCGAGGGTTGCTGCAGTTGCGGTACCTGTCGCCGACGCTGCTGCCGCTGCTGCTTCTGCTGCTGCTGCTGCTGCTGCCCTGATGCGGCTCGGCAGCAGCTGCAGCAGCAGCTGCGCCTCCTGGGCAGCACTGCGCAGCCGCACCAACGAGTCCAGCAGCTCCACCAGAAACTGCAGCGGGGGCCCGCCTATTTGCTGCTGCTCTGGGAGCATTTTGGGGGGCCCCTGCAGCAGCTTGAGTTGGCAAGCTGTCCCAAAAAGGCCTCCTGTCTTGCGCTGCAGTGGCTGCTGCAGTGGCTGCTGCGGTGGCTGCTGCAGGGGCTGCTGCTGCTGCAGCTCCAGCAGGAGGCGGGAGAGAGCCAGGCGGCAAATGCGGCGCAGCAAGTCTTCAGGCGGAGTCCTGCTGCGGCTGCTGCTGCGGCTGCTGCTGCGGCTGCTTCTGCTGCGGCTGCTGCGGCTTTTACTGGTGGCACGAGTGTCTGTCGCTGCAGCAGCAGCTCCTTCAAGGCCCTTCCTGCGGGAAGCTGGTAACTTGCTGCTGCTGCTGCGGCAGCTGCTGCTGCACTGTAGCTGCAGCGCAGCAGCTGCTAAGAAGCGCTGCAGGGTCCCCAAAGACGCAGCCCGTGGCTGCCTTTGCATGCGCAGCTCCCTTTCCTGCTGCTGCTGCTCCAAGCAGCCGAAGCGCAGCAGCAGCAAAAGGGCCCCCCTTGCCAGCGAGGTGGAGATACACCCCAAGGAAGCAGCACAGAAAAGGAACCAAGAGACCGAGTCTACCGCAAGGAAGTGCTTCCTGAGCTCGGCTTGCTGCTGCTGCGGCAGCTGCAGCAGGGGCTCCTGAGTCTGCGGCAGCAGCCGCAGCAGGGGCAGCAGCAGCTGCTGCTCCCGCTGCAGCAAAGCTTCTGACAGCTGCAGCAGCAGCTGCTGCGGCTTATCTCCCAGCTGCCACTCCTGGCTTCCCTGCCCCCTCGCCACAACGCCCCACAAAAGAGCAGCAGACACTCCGTGGCTCCGCAGGCGGTCTTCTGCAGCAGCACCCGCAGCAGCGCTTGCTGCTGCTGCTGTTGCTGCATTTAGTGTTGCTGCTGTTGCTTCGCCTGCTGCTGGCTTTCTTACTTTTGCTGCTGCGGCTGCGGTCCTCGAAGGTCTCTTGTGGACGCCCGAATTCCTGTCCGCCTCTGTCGGGTGGCTGTTGGTAGGCGCAGCTGCTGCTGCTGTTGCTGCAGTTGCTGCTGCTGCTGCTGCTACTGCTGGGTCCGCCTGATGCGGGACAGTGGGGTTGTTGTGTTTTAGTCGGCTCTTAAGCTGCTGCAAAGCGGACTTCGTTGCCGAAAGAAACAGAGACCTGCAGGCTTTGCTGCATAGAAGAGTCCGTGCTGCTTTGCTGCTGCTGCTGTTGCTGCTGCTGCTGCTGCTGCTGCTGCTGAGTCTACTAAGAGAAGAGAGAAAATGTGCGGCGTCCCGCAGAGAAGCACTGGAGTGTATGGCTGCCAAGTGCCACTCTGCTGCAGCTACCACTGCTGCCAGCCTCTGCTGTGGGGTCTCTCCTCGCCCTCCTGCAGCAGCAGCAGCAGCTCGAAAGGCCTTCAGCAGCAGCAGATGGTGCTGCTTCAGCGCAGCGCCACACGGGGGCCCCGTATGGTCTCCAGCCGCAGCAGCAGCAGCAGCAGCAGCAGCAGCCGGGCAAACGGCGCTGATGCTGTCGCCAGTGCCCTCAGCAGAGTTGCTGCTGCTGGCCCTAGTGCCGCAGCCAGCTGCAGTGGTGCTGCTGCTGCTGCACTCCTGCAGCGCTGCAATCAGAAGGGGCCCCCAGCCCCAGGGGCCCGCAGCTCTGAGGAGCAACTCCAGCTGCTGCTGGAAGCCCCCCCAACAAAGCGGTCTGCCTTCAACGCCCCTCTCTCCACTCTCATATCCCCCCTGTTGTTTCTGCTGCTGCTGTTGCTGCCACTGCTGCTGCTGCTGCTGTTGTAAGGTGATCCCTCTGATATATGGGCGGCCCCCTGGCTGCTGCAGCGCCTTCTGCAGTGTGCAGCTGCCCCAGAGGCGCACTTGCTGGGTCTGGCCTTCTGGGGGCCCCAGCAGCCGGCTGCAGCAGGGGGCCCCCAGGGCCTTGCCGGGGCCCCCTTGAGCTCTGGCCGGCGCACCCAGAGGCCTTTCCGTTCGAGCTGCTGCTCCCGAGGGGCCTTTCGGGGATCTCCTACGTGCTGCTAGCAGTCTTGATAGGCCTCGAGAGGGGAACATCTATGGCACTGCTGGGGGGGCCCCCATGGTCCATGTGGGGCCCCTGAGTGGGGCCCCTGATCTAGGACTCGGGCCCCTTGGAAGCACCGACAAGCCGCAGATGCTCTTTAAATGCTTTTAAAACGCCTTTATTGTTTATTTAACTCAAAATACAAGCGCGCCTGGAGGCTCGAGACGCCGGTTGTGTGTACAAAAGCCCCCATCAGACCCAGGGGCCCCCAGGTGACTCTTCGGGGGCCTCTCGGGGCCCCCTAACAAAAGTAGGGGCTCTGTTTCTGGGACCGTCTGTGACTTTGCCTCCTTTGTATGTGCAATAATGTTACACACAGAGCTGCTGCGCCCTTGTGTTACACTTGAAGGTTTCCAAGTACAGCTGCAGGGGAGCA